AAGGAAAATGCTAAGAAAAAGCTGCAAACTGCCTTTCTCTACAACTGACAGCAACATGTCCCACATGATCAGCATCTATACCTGCAGGGAACTGGTGCTTCTACAAAGTACTGGCTTAGGCAAATGAATACAAAAGTCTAGCAGCACAATGCCTAATTTTTATTTGTGAAAACAAAACATAAAAAGTTAAAAAATCACGTATCCTTACTTTACAACTATAAACTACACAGTGGAAGTCTGTTTAGAGACGCCTCTACATATTTAGGCTGTTTATGAGGATGTTGGTTCCACAACTGAAGACCAAAGAGCTCAAATGAAGTTATCTCTTGTACAGTCCTGGTCCTAAAACCACGGACTTATATAGGGGTGCAAATAATAATCGTTTTGTATCGATGCATCGATCCAACAGCCGACGATCTGATGCATCGACACGTCCGCAAGAGTATCGATTCATGTTTTTTTGGGGGGGTTTTTTTACCTCCGGTCTTTTTTAATCATTTGCTTCTGGACGTTATTCTGACTCCCGGGCTGCGGTGGTGCTAAACCTATTTTACCCTCCTACCTTGCTTCCTTTAGCCATTACGCTCTTTCCGCTTGCAGTATTTTTTGATACAAGGCCTTTCAGACTGTATAACACAGAGGCATTATTATTTTACAGTGAATGAGGTTTTCATAGGCCTAGGTGGAGCAAACTTTGCTACGTCTGTTATTTGCGGTTGTTTCTCAAAAAAAAATGCATAACGATATTACAGCTTTCTTTGATTTATTTCAAATTTGAAACATTGTCTAGCCTGTAAGGTAAAAAAAAAAAAATTAATTAACCAATGAATCAAATCGTATCGTGGTGTATACCTCGGTATCAAAAATAATCGAATCGTTGGGTCAGGATGCCATGATGGGTAGGATTTACACCCCTGGCCTTATATAAGGTTAAAGGAAACCTGTGCAGCGTATCTGTCCAAAGCGATGCTCTGTTCAACCAGCGTTCCAGGCGACTGGTTGATCAGAGCTGATTGGATCAGTCCGATAAGTTTCTCTGGGTTACTCTTTGGCAGTCACCTAGTTACCACTCAAAGCTGAGCATCCTGTGAAACGGCAGAGGTTGAATGCTGGAGTAAAAAATGAAAATGTGGGACTAATTTTACAGCAGAATATACTAAAGTATATCCAAGTCTAGTAAAGGTGAGGAACAGTGGTGGATCTAGACTAACTGTACCAGGTGGCCAGGAGGGGGGCAGCATGTTTTCATGGGGGCCCAGAAAAGCATGAAATAAAAAAGAGGGCAAGAGATTCAAATATATTAAGAGAGCTGCATGAAGTGAAATTTCTTTTCAATTAGGTTCAATAGAAATTCTATTTCTTATGAGGCCAATAGACATTTATAATTTACATATTTTTGACTTAATTGACGTTAAAACTACCATTTACTATAAAATTTGAATAAGAACAAAAGAAAAACTGTTAAATTCATCTGTAAAGATTAAAGCATTCTTTTTTATTTGTGGAAAAAAAACATTTAGCAGATGAAAACTGTGATCCTATCTCAATACCACTGAAGCTATCACCTAATTATTTTTGAATAATTAGTAAAACAGAATTTTTAAAGAAAAAGAATGAAATAGATCCCAAGGACCTATCAGTAACCATGTCTGTTCCAGCGCATATCATCATTAGAATTTCTTTTAAGTATTATGTCTTCAGCATCTCCCTGAAATCAGTTTTTGGAGCTTGGGATGTCTGAATAAACACAACTGCTATTGATGGATTAACAATGATTACAAGTCAGACCATCAACTCAGCTTAAGAAATGTAGATCGTATTGATTCCCTTACCAACATACTTGGATAAATAACAGACAGACGAGTACAGAAACACCTTCCTGGTTAGAAAAAGCCTCCCCAATCGGACCGGAACCATAATAATGAGAGCATTTGGCGGAAGTTACGTCAAACATTCACGATGGCTGCAGTTAGCTCACGTGAGTCCATCACGGACCACACTCCATACCAGTAAGTGGCGGTAATGCTACTAAATGTTTGTTGTCAACCGCCAATAAATCCAAGAAGAAGAAGAAGAAGAAGAAGAAGAAGAAGTTAGCTCACGTGAAAACAGGAGTTCTATGTTTTAAAACTTAGTGCTAAAACAAATCACATAAACATGAAACAAAGTTTGAGTTAAGTGATGAAAAAATAAACCAAACTTAATCTGAACCTTAAAGGACCTTATAATCCTTCTGTTTTTAGTTGGATCCGTCCATCTGAATTAAGTGTTAATTTTGGTACCACATGCCATTCAATATAACTCGTAAAAAATAGTCTGCATTAACCTCCTATTAGTATGATTTACCTTTTCAGCTGTCCTTTACTAATTCGCCTTGTCTCCCCACTGCATGAACAGTGTTTTTTCTGAACTCCCGCGAGATGAGAGTAGTTACGGTGAGATTCAACGTGACTGGAATAAACCACGTTGCACACAAAATATTGTTTTATTAATATTCTTCTAAATAGCCTTCATGGTGATCTTGGTTTATTTTTTATAAATCTTATAGGCTCACGCTTTAAAAATCAGAGTGGATCTCCCTCTAAAAAATAGTTTCTGAGCATTTAGTACCCAGATTTCTGGGTATTTGGTTCCGCCCTCCCCGCCCGTGGAGCCTTCCAGAAGTCGCCGGCAGATCCGTGCGACTTGCAGCTCAGCAGCACTCCAGATCAACATCGTTAAAACTCGCGTTTCTAAGTACTGAGCACCTGTCGAGACTCTTAAATCTGCAGTCAAGATGTCCTCTCTGGGCACATTGGCATTTGATGAATATGGCAGGCCCTTCATCATCATTAAGGACCAAGACAAGAAGACTCGGCTAACGGGCATTGACGCATTGAAGGTACAATGGGCTAGCTAGCAAAAAGTTAGCATTTCGATTAAAAGCAGTACATTTCATGGTTCCTTTGTATTTGGGTTACGCGCGAAATAATCGTATTAAAAAGGCATCCCTCGTCTGCATTCGGGAGTTGTGAAAACAGTCTGAATGTTATTAATCGTCGGTGAAGCAGCTGTCAGATGTGTAAGCAGTCATGCTAACATTAGGGCCCATGTGCTCCTTGGGTAGCGCTCAGACAGGGGGTGTTTCCTTACATAGAGAGTCCTGCCCACCATGGTCAGTAGTGATGTTAATCCGCTCAAATACCAATGCATATGAGAATATCTTAACTGTTGAGAAATAATAATGAATAATTTTTAAATGTTGTGTTTTACAGTCTCACATCATGGCAGGCAAAGCAGTCGCTTCAACGCTGAAAACATCCTTGGGACCTAATGGTACGTAATGATAATAGTATTAATTGAACTTTATTAATCTCACATTGGATAACTTTACTGTGTATTTAACCCATCCCCTTGGGGAGCAGTGTGGGGTTAAGGGTCTTGCTCAGGGACCCAGAGTGGCAGTCTGTGGGAGTGGGGCTTGAACTCAGAACCTCTTCCAATTTCTATGCCCTAACCACTAGGCCTCCACTCCCCTAATAGTTGTCTAAACATTTATTATTTTACTAAGGTACTTAAATATTGTGTGTTTATTAGGTCTGGACAAAATGATGGTTGACAAGGATGGAGAAGTGACTGTCACTAACGATGGAGCCACTATTCTCAGCATGATGGATGTGGATCACCAGATCGCCAAACTTATGGTGGAGCTGTCCAAGTCCCAAGATGATGAGATTGGTGACGGGACCACCGGAGTTGTTGGTATGTTAGTAGGTGCTGATCTGTGAATGTACCTCTGGATGCATTCTGCTGAAAGTATTGGAAACTAGTAGCTTTACACATAAAGACATTAGGTATGGCTATTTTTTTACTTATTTTTTTTTTTTTTTTGGCAAGATAAAAAGTCGATTAAATTCTTATTGTGATAATATAGGAGCTCTTGTTAGTCAAATATGTGTGAACTGAAAAAGAAATTAAGAGGTAGTGACCTTAGTATAAATGGTGTGCATTACAACTGGGTAGGAAGATTCACCTGCCTCTAGTAAATCCTTCATTTTATAATAGGAATAATAAGGTCTCTAATTTACTTAATGTACAGATTAAGACTTAGACAGATGTTACTTGTCATTTTGTTTTCACAATTGTAAAACAGAAGGAAATTTCGTTTGAAACAGCTCTCTGGACAATTTCATCTTTTTAAAAGTGCAGCCTTGAAAAAATAGTAAAAAAAAAATAGATATATATAATACAATACAATAGCCCATTTTACAAAACATTCAGCAGTCGGTAACTATTTAGCTCTTCAATGTTTTCTGTCCTGTAGTGCTGGTTGCCTTTATTTGTAACTCGATAGGAAGAACAACAGAGAGAGAAGGGCGTGCAGAAAATAAGACCCTAAACAGGTTGTTTTGAACACTGTAGCCACATTATGGCTTAGACATTAAATGTGCCTAAATAAGAAGCAAAATCAATAGTTTGCTGTCTTAACATCTGTACTATATCACTTGAAGTCAAATCTCATTGAGTGCAGCTTGGCGAGAATGTTCTGACTGCTCAGTTTGTCAGCTTACCTGCAAAAATGAAGACCCCTCTTGGCTCTCTGGAACTTTCCAAAGCTTATAGAATCCTTCATTGAAGCAGTGAACACAGAGCCTCTGTAGATTGCATCCAAAGGGTTCTTCAGACAGATGGTTGTTTTTTTAAGGTTAAGAAATTTAAATAGCTATGTCCACACTTTAATGTTTGTAAACTATTGATACTGAAATGAACAGATCTTGATGACTAACCACAGCCGTCCTGTTATGTTCCATATAAACGCCTTACCATGTCTAAAACTTCACTCCTTGCTCAAATGCAGCTTTAGATTCTGACAATCTGCTCATTTTTATCTTTGCCTTCTTAGTGCTTGCTGGAGCACTGCTGGAGGAAGCAGAGCTGCTGCTGGACCGAGGAATCCACCCCATCAGGATTTCCGATGGCTATGACCAAGCCGCACGTATAGCCATAGAGACGCTGGACAAGATGGCTGAAAGTTTCCCCTGTGACCCCAACAACACTGAACCTCTCATCCAAACTGCCATGACAACGCTGGGATCAAAAGTGTAAGTCATTCGGTGCTTGGGTATTTCATTCAAATTTATGTTTTTTTTTCTAAGCAGAATATTCTGTTTCATGAATCGATTGGTAGTTGAGAACATTATTTCCTTTGAACAAAGACTTTGAAATTGCCCATTAGCCACAGAGCTCAATGGTTATGCCTGCTTGGTTTTTAAATGTATGGTTTATTTCTAGAATTAACCGGTGCCACAGACAGATGGCAGAGATCGCAGTGAATGCCATCCTCACTGTGGCCGACATGGAGAGAAAGGATGTTGACTTTGAGCTCATCAAGGTGGAGGGGAAAGTAGGAGGAAAGCTGGAGGACACACAGCTCATCAAAGGGGTTGTAGTCGACAAGGAGTTCAGCCACCCTCAGATGCCCAAGGTATGAATGAGTACATAAGAAAGATCGTGGGAGAAGTGGGTCTTTCTAAATCTATTAAATATCTGCTTCTGATCCCTAATTTGGAAAGTGACAAATATTTTAAGTCGTATAAGGAATAAATTAAACAGGATCAGGGACAAATAAATGTGCGTATTATATCTATGTTATAATGGGACTAATGACTCTACTTTATCTTTCTTTTATTCAGATTTTAAAGGATGCTAAAATTGCGATTCTAACCTGCCCATTTGAGCCCCCGAAGCCCAAGACCAAGCATAAGTTGGATGTCACCTCAGTTGAAGACTACAAAGCCCTTCAGAAATATGAGAAAGAGAAGTTTGAGGAGATGATCAAGCAGGTAGATACCGAAAATGAATGCTGTTGCTGCAGGAGCTAATTATCTTACTATTTTAAGAAACCTTTTTGTGTTTGATTTTAGGTGAAAAGCACCGGTGCTAACTTGGCCATCTGCCAGTGGGGCTTTGATGACGAGGCCAACCACCTTCTGCTGCAAAACGAGCTGCCTGCTGTGCGCTGGGTCGGGGGGCCAGAGATTGAAGTAAGAAATGGTTCAAATGTGCTAAAGTCATTAACGCTGAATTTTTCCTTAAACAATTTGATCAAGCAATAAATAATTAAGTGTATTGTTTTATATACGGTTCTGTTCCTGAGTATTCTGGTATGTTTTCCCTGTAGTTGATAGCGATAGCCACCGGGGGGAGGATCGTGCCGAGGTTCTGTGAGCTGACACCGGAGAAACTCGGTGCCGCCGGCTTGGTTAAGGAGATCTCCTTCGGAACAACAAAGGACCATATGCTGGTGATCACAGAATGCAAAAACACCAGGGCCGTAACCATTTTCATCCGTGGTGGCAACAAAATGGTGAGCAGCTACGATTCCTCACAGTGTTAAATACGGACTTATTGGTGCGTGTATATTTTATTAACTGATTCATAAATTGATTGTTCTTAGATCATCGAGGAGGCCAAGCGTGCCCTTCATGATGCTCTGTGTGTAATTCGCAATTTGGTCAGAGACAACCGTGTTGTGTATGGAGGCGGAGCATCAGAAATCGCATGTGCCCTCGCTGTGAACCAGGCTGCAGATAAGGTAGGACTTAGAGATGGATTCAGCACCATTTAAGGGCTTACACCTCTTGATCAATGTGTGTTTTCCCTGTTAGTGTCCATCCTTGGAGCAATATGCCATGAGGTCGTTCGCTGATGCTCTAGAGGTCATCCCGATGGCACTGGCTGAAAACAGCGGACTGAGCCCCATTCAGACTATGGCTGAAGTCCGAGCCAGACAAGTCAAGGAAAACAACCCGTTCCTTGGCATCGACTGTTTACACAAAAACACCAACGGTAAGGAGACTGCTTTCTTTTATATGATCTCATTTACAAACAGAGCTGCATTTAATCAATGTCAATCAATAATTGGCTTTTTTTTCCTCCTGCACAGACATGAAGCAGCAACATGTGATTGAAACCTTGATTGGCAAGAAGCAGCAGATCCTTTTGGCTACGCAGGTGGTTAAAATGATCCTTAAGATAGACGACATCCGAAACCCAGGAGAGAGTGAAGACTGAAGTTAAGCAGATGTAGTTTGCTCTGCAGGAGACGTTTCAGAGGTCTTAGGCACTTCCTCCAGCTCCATGTTCACATCATAGTTGGTATCGCTATTTATCGTTTGATACAAAATGTTCAAGCTTTATTCGTTACACAGGCACCAATAAAACGTTAATCTGCTGAAATGTGTGTTTCACTTTTATTTATATTCATGTTTGTACATTTACATTTTCTGGTATAAAATGTTAGGGCACATTTTTTCTGTTCAGAAGTGTTTCTCTATTTCATTCAGACAGACTTCATTACCCAGACATTGAGAAAATACAAAAGTAAAATCAACCTAGACACACAGCTACTGATGTGATTCTGATTATAGCTTTCAAGTAAAATATAGATTTTTCTTCGTTTACATGTTTTTCAGATGTACTTATTCAGCCAGTTGAGCATATCCTTCCTCGCCTCCTCGATCTGGGGTTTATCAGCAGGGTTGATGTCCTCTCTCTTGCGGTGGACAAAACCATGAGTCTGCCCAGGAAATATTTTCACCTGGTAGTCCACTGTGCATTTCTCCTTCAGTTTAGCTTCCAGGGAGCTCACCTGAAGGGTGAAATGTGTCACATTTGAGCAATCTAACGTATTTAAAGAGAAAATAACACAAAGCAGTTCATTTCTAAATGCAAATATAAACAGCTTAAAGCTGGCTGTAAATCAATTGAAATGATGGAAATCCAAAAAAAATGACCTTTGTGGAAACCATTTTTTTTTTTTTTTATGATACTCCTTAAACCATTGATTCATGCCCATATAATGCATAGAGACTGATATGCAGGGATAAAGGGAGAATACTTAGAAGTGCTTAATAAAAATGTCAAAGCTGTTGTCTCTGGGTGGTTCAAGATGTTGAGCAAACAGTGAAAAATCCAATTTACTTCATCTGCCGGGATCACAGTGGGGCTGGTGTTTTAAAGCATTTAATCTATAATCAAAAGCAGGGTACACCCTGGACAGGTTGCCAGTCCATTACAAAAATATACTACCATTCATACCCTTGCCTCTGGACAATTTAGAGTCACAAATTAACCTAACAATTATGTTTGTAGACGGGGAGAAAGCCCACGCATGCACAGAGAGAACCAGTGTATTCTCATTATCAGTTAGTATGAAATCGTACAAAAAGTTATGCACAGTAATTGTGTACTTTTGACGTTTTTTTTTTGTCGTATTTTTACGTCTTGCCTCGAGACAAGATATCCTTGCGCATCTTAGGCACCATTCAATAACATAGAATTTAACATACAATTAACCCTAACCCTAAGATACAAAACAGCAAGCAACCTAGTTAGAGACATCAGGAAGTAATTATTGCACTAGTTTTACATCCGTCCGCGGATCTGCTTTTTTCGTCTGCCTGCGCACTGATCTGTTTTTTTGACGAAAAACGTACGAAATACTGTGCATAACTTTATTTACTTTAGAATATGTTGCAGTAGAGTACATGCAATCTCCATGCAGAAAGACCCTGAGAAGGGAATCAAACCCAGAACCTTCTTGCTGCAAGAGAGAGCTACAAAATGCCACCGTGTAGCCTGCAGTGAAGAGTTTGTTAGATGAATTGAACAAAATATGCTGAATTAATGACCCTTAAATCTAGGGCTGGGTAAAAAAATATATATATTTAATCGATTTTGAATTGATTCCTTTACATTTTTTAAAAATCGATGTCTAGGGAATGAGATCGATTCATTTTATAATGATGCACGTTCAAACTTTCACATTCAAATGAGCCGGAAAGATGCTCTCAAGATTACTTCAAGCCAGACAGCAGCAAATATACCCAATAGGTGGACTGAAGACATTAACAAATGGGGGCTGACCAGCAAACACCTTGTAGTTGTTACAGATAATGCTTCAAATATGGTTTGTGCAGGGAAGATAATGCAGCTCATGCATACCTGCTGTGTTACGTCTGCTTGCTCGAGTGAGGCTTCACTTTTTCACTTTTCACAGACGAGTTTGTACTTTTGAGACAGTTTTGTTCACATCTCATGTTTAAACTGATTTATAAGATTGCACTTTGTTTAATGTGACAGGAAAAAAAAAATAAATACATGAGTATTTTGAAACACAATTGAAACACTTTCATTATTGTAAAAAAAAAGATTGAATCGAAATTATTCAAATTTACAAATGAATGAATCAAAATCAAATCGATTCAAGACTTTGGCGAAAATACCCAGCCCTACTTAAATCCTTTATGGGTCATTAAACCTTTTAGGGCTGCCTATTCTCCAGCACTAAAAGGTTTTATTCCAAGATTGTGTGGTTTTGAGCTGCACTGGGATTTTTTTCCCCCTGCACTAGTTTGTTGGATCTTGTGAAAGAGACACGATGGTGACCTTGGATGCAGTGCAGCTTAGTTGCAATAGAAGAAGCTTTTTTTCCAATAGCGAAGGGCCTCTTGACAGCTAGGGTTAATTGTTTTGATACTGTGATCTTTTTCCAATATAGAAGTGGTATCGATTCAGAGGATGCGGTTGTTTCAAGTACGAGTGTTTTACACTGCTGTCGAACCCGATACCAGTATCAATGCATAAAGTGCTTCAAAAAAAGCAATATTTTTTAACTGTGTATTCATGGTTATAAAAATGGAAGTGGAGTGAGCAAATATGCCTTTTTCACACAGCTAAAAAAAACATGTATAAAAATAGTTTGCTTTTTCACTCTATTCTAGTTATATTTACTGAATTTTACATTTTAAGGGTTTTAAACATTTTTGCAAGTTATTGTATAAACAATAACTTTTAGGACAAACTGTAGTTTAAAGGTTTTCGGTGGTACTTACTTGGTCTAGAGGGATGACATTATCGCTTTCTGCAAAGATGAAGAGAGTCGGGCTCTTCAGCGCATACCTGTCATCCCTTTCACGAACTATTCCTGCAAAACAACACAAAAATCATCTAAATCCAACTAAAAAAAGCAACAGTACATATTCTGCTGAAAAAAGAGAATACCATAGACGGACACTCCGGCTTTGATTTCTGGATATTGCAAGGCCACATAATGTGTTGCAACTCCTCCCCAGCAAAAACCCACAGTTCCGATGCGTTTGGCTCCACACTGCTCCTTCAGGTACTTCAGCACAGCATCAACCTCTCTGAGACAGAAATCATTGTCAGATTATGTGCATTTTGTTAAAAGAATAAATAATTTAAGTTTTCTTACTTGTTAATTTCTGTTGGTTTTTTATCTTTAAGCCAGTCCTGAAAAGTGGACCAGTCTTTGGTTGGACTCCAAGCTTCCTTCCCAACAAAGAAATCTGGACAAACGGCACTGCATAGGACAAACCATGAAATAAACATCACAGCGAATGATTGCAACAATCCTAAAGCATTTATTGGTTAATATGCATAAAATAATTTTACACACATATATCCATTGGCAGCCAGCATGTCAGCCATGTATCTGGTGTTGGGGAGCTCCCATCCGAAAATGTCCTGGAAGACAATCACAGCCTTGTCCGATGCAGCGGAGGGTTTAACTATATATGCTTTGACATGTTCAATCTGGACCTCCTGGCCCAGCCCTCCGTAATCAGACCGATCACCAATATCACAGGGGCACGGCTTGGCCTCGTTCGCCATCTAGAAACACGCACAGATACGGTCAGATCATGAGGCCTGTCCATTTTATCAGGCCAAATATATTTGTAGGGAAAGGGGAGACATTATAGAGTCATTTTAAATAGATTTTCCCCCAAAGAGTTGTTTAAAAGGAGATGAAGGTAGAAGGAATGGGCCTAGAGTCCAAAATGTCAATTTTTAAATTTTTGATTTGGATTCTAATGCAATAATTGACATTTTAAAAAATACTTATTGAATATGTAACTGAGATTCTAATTGATAAATACATTTTAAATGTATTTTAAAACCACGTATAATTCTTTCACTAGCTTTTTATTCCAGTTTTCCAGCACATCATGAACTTTTTATCTAACAGCCTTATCATCTGTGAGCAGGAACTAGTGCTATGAACCATTAGCCAGAGTTTAGTATGTATATTGGGAGCTGCAGCACTTTAAGATATGTGATAAACTCTTAATTCTAACCAATATGACTAAACCCTGACCCTTCATATCTGACTTACATCTATCTTTCATTTTAAAATTTCTTATTGTAACTTTTTGTGTATAAAATAAAGTGTTGGCATTAATGAACAATAATAGATTAAGAAGGTATTTATTTCGAGTCACTGTTGGAGTTTTCGCACCATACCCCTTTAATTTCCTTAAGAACAGGAAATGTAATTATAAAGACCAGAAAAAAAATATATATATATATATATCTTTTTTTCCAGTTAATTCTATCTTCCTGACCTCTGTGCTCCTTAACTAACCTTGTTTGTTTAACTTATCTTCTATAACGTGATGAAGTCTGTCAACACACCTTTCATCAATCAACATAAACAGACATATTGGGTGTGCTCTGATGACTACAGGACATCTTTTGCAGAAAGAGTTGGTGCTATTAAGGTGAAAAGTTAATGTCCTGTGCAACAGATATCAAATGTTTGATAAAATAGCTCTAACCTTTCTGTGATCCGTCTTATTTTCTTAATGCTTTAGCGAAGAGGGGGGCCCATTGTTTTTACAATTTTGCAAGTTGATCCACATAAGCTGGACTTGAGAGCAGAATAATAAAGAAAGGAAGTGGAAGAGGAAAATAATGGAACAGGAAAGTTCCCATTGCAAAAAATAAATGAGAGTCGATCATGTTTTGTAGAGACATGTTTATGAAAATGCTGTGGGGATTAAAAAAAAATAACTTTCAAAGTTTGAACCTAATCAGTCAGTACCAGTTTCAACATCATGGTCAAATGGGTAAGAGACGCATTTCATCACTCTGCAGCACAGAGCGCCACAGGAAGTCATTCCTGACATTGGCCATCAAACTGTATAATTCAACTCTCTGACAGTCATTTGATTTCATTCATTAATATTTATTTATTTCATTATTTCACTTTGCGCAATAACACGGCCACGTGCAATAATTGTAATCTGGTACTAAGCACCATTGTAAATTCTAAATACTGTCGATTCTATATAATATGATCCTTGTTTTATTCTTATATCTTCTTTTATACTGTTTATATGGGAAGGATGTAATTTTACTAATTTTACTTATTTTATTCTCCCTTATTATACTGTATTTAATTTTTGCTCTATTGTACTTACAATCCTATTTTTCTCTCTTCTGTATATGGTTGCAATGCAAGAAAAGAATAACCCACAAGGGATTAATAAAGTAATTCTGATTCTAAAATGCAGCAGCAGACAAAAAAAAAAAAAAAAGAAAAATCACTGCATACTTTGTTCAGATTTAGTTTTTACAAAAAAAAATAAATAAACTTTAGTAAACTTTGAGTACTTTACTGTTAAGACCTTTGAGGACTGTCTGGCAGCGACCTATAGGTTAATATAAGGAGGCAATCATTTATTTGATCCTACAAAACGCAAGATTGGACTGGTGATTTAATAAATTAACCTGTGTTTTATAATAAATGACACAATGGAAGCACAAGATAAGTTCATATCTTGTAGTTATGTTTTGTAATTATTATAGTAAAAAGTTACATTGCAACACAATGACGAAGCATTTTTCCAGACAATTTCTTACGTTTTTCTTGCCATCAATAGCCAAAATAGGCCTACTTGTGTTTGAAAATTACAAACAGGATTTTTAAAACATCCCTTTAGCATTCTAAAACCAGGTTGACCTCTGTGCTCGTTAACTAACCTTGTTTCTTTAACTTATCTCCTATAACGTGATGAAGCCTGTCACCACACCTTACATCAATCAACATAAACAGACATATAGGGTGTGCTCTGATGACTACAGGACATCTTTTGTCTGAGCACAAAAGGGCATTTATTTACATTTCACACATGAAATAAACCATAAAACCATATGGATTGGTTGGTACTTGTTCTCTTTATAATGGCTGACTGAATCTCTAACAGCCAGTGGAAAGAGGTGGTGCTATTAAGGTGAAAAGTTAATGTCCTGTGCAACAGATATCAAATGTTTGATAAAATAGCACTAACCTTTCTGTGATCCGTCTTATTTTCTTAATGCTTTAGAGAAGAAGGGGGCCTATAGTTTTTGCATTTTTGTAAGTTGCTCCACATAAACTGGAATTGACAGCAGAATAATAAAGAATAGAAGTAGAAAAGGAAATTAATGGAACATGAGAGAGAAAGAAACTTATAAAGCAGTTCCCATGGCAACAAATAAATGACAACTCATCATGTTCTGTAGAGACATGTTTATCAAACTGCTGTGGGGATTAAACAACAAAAACTTTCAAAGTTTGAACCGAATCGGTCAGTAGCTGTTTCAACATCATGCTCAAATGGAGCAGCAGAAAAAGAAAAAAATCATTGCGCACTTTGTTGAGATTTAGTTTTTACGGTACACAAAGAAGAACAAAGTTTTGAGAAGTTTGCTGTTAAGATCTTTGAGGACTGTCCTGCCGCGACCATTAGGTTCATATAAAGAGGAAATCATTTATACGAGCCTGCAAAACACAAAATTGGAGACTTTTAACAAATCTCCCTGTGTTTTATAGCAAATGCATCAACGGAAGCGCAAGAGAAGTTCAAATCTTGTTCCAACATGGGAGTAAAAAGTTACTTTGTTACGCAACACAATGACGCAGCAGTTTGCTAGAATATTTCTTATGTTTTCCTTGCCATCAATAGCCAACATGGACCTACTAATATTTGAGAACTACAAAAAGGATTTTTAAAACATCGCGTTAGCTTTCTAAAACCAGGTTGCACTAATACATAAAAACATACCTTATTTTTCCTGGAAGTTTCCAAAAATCACTGAAACTTTTAGTTTGAGAGTGAGGAGAGGCGTGCAGGCTGATTGGGCTGATCACAGGGGCTGATAGAATAAATAATGGGTCACGTGATAAACGTCAAGCATGAGAAATCAGGGACCACCTTCAAAATAAGAGCCCTTCACACTACTGCAATATCAGGGACCAGTTTCAAAATAAGATCCCTTCACACTACTGTGAAATAAGCTCAAAGTGGTAATGTGGTAATAATGTTTTCTTGTAGGGTTGAAACAATTAATTAGATTAATTGTGATTAGTTGATTTTTGAAATACTCCTGAACTAATTTGGTAATTGGTTAATCGTCAACTGGAGAATAGAGACTTAAACATTTAGCTGACAGAGTGACCCACTTAGAGCAGTAATTATACTAAAATCATAAAATAATATGTAAACATTTTGCATTTAAGATTTTAAAAAATGTTTTCATCTGTCAATATGTTCTATCCAGATCTCCTCGATTGAAAAAGTTACAGTTTAACCTGGTTTAATTTAGTGAAAAATCTTCTATAAGGAAACTTTTGCAATTGTTATTTGGCTATCCAATTATTAATAAATTAATCGAAAAGGAAAAAAGCCCTATTTTAGTGTTTTATTGTTTTTATTTAGTTTGGGAGCTTTTTTCATTTTCCAATACTTAATTTTGGGGAAAAAATGTTAGTTTAAAAAACCTGAAAGATAAATTCTATACTGATTTAGTCATTTTATTTTTTATTTATTTTATTTATTTGAATTAGAAGAATGCATATTCATCAACATGTCAGCATAAAGCATCAATGTAAATATACCAGAATTAGCTAATTAGGACAGCTAATTTGCATCCGCTGTCCTAAGGCAGATAAAAACAGTGAACATTAAACAAGATGCTACAGGAGAGAACAGAGCGGACACAAACAGATAAGATGCCAATAACATAAAATCACAATAAAATTAGGTTAACAATAAAATGAGGTTAACAGACCCATGGAAACAGATCAATTTACCTGTGAACACATGTCTGGTTAGTTTTCAACCAATGTTTCAAAAAGTATGTAGGTTACACAGCCCCTAACATGAGCTGGCAGTGTGTTCCATAACTGTGCTCCTCTGATGGATGCAACCATTTGGCCAAATTTGGTCCTACGCCGCTGAACGTTACAGTCTCCTCTGGTTAAAGCTCTAGTGTTTATTCTAGTAATGGTTTTTCTGCTTATAAAATCTGTTAGAGGAGGAGGAGCAAGTCCATTTAAAACTTTAAAAACAAGGCATGCATCCAGAAACATCTGATGACGTTCAAAGTCTAAAATGTTGTACTTACTTAAAATGTTACAATAATGACAATGTACAGGTTTTTTATCAAGAACTTTCAGAGTTGCCTTGAAGAGAGACTGTAGAGGTTTCGGAATGGCCTTTGAAGTGTGAGACCATGTGGTATGGCAGTAGTTTATATGGCTAAATATCATGGCATGCATATAGGTTTTTGCTGATTCAGAAGTCAGAGAGGGTCTTATATGTTTAAAGTACTCTAGCTTTAGAATGTTAATGTTGAGGTTTCAGCATAAAATGGTAAAACTGAGAATGACATGCAGCGGATTTTGTATAAATTCGCATAGATAAATCACAGACTTATGGACTAGTTATTTAAAAGAAACGTATTCTTTAAGATAAATATGAGAATATTTCTGAGTAAAAAAAAGCAGTCTGCACAAAGGTGATTAAACTTGTTTCTGAGAACACACCTAACATTAGGAAGGCCTTGTGAAATTAATTAATTAATATTGGGGCCTGACTTCAGGTATGTTGATACAGGAGCATTGTTTTTCAGTTATGCAGAAAAAATTATGATAATGTCATAAGCACATATACAGAAGAAGTTGAGGACCAAATTAACATTAAACCATGCTGAGAAGGTAATGTTTTTAGAAGGGGTTAAAATAGCAATGACACTAATCTAGGTGAAAAATTCTAGAGTAAAGGTGCAAAAGCTAAACATTAACAAAGCAAGGGAAGCATATACTGTTATCCATCCATATTGTATTCTCTTAATTTCTCGGGTTTATGTTGAATCTGGTATCCATCCATATTTTCTTCTATTAATTCTTCAGGTTTAATATGAATTCTATCTCTAAAAAAATACTCACCTAAAAAGTGAAAAGAGATAATTTATCCTAATATGATTCTTTTATTGTTTGGACTGTCAAAGTATCTCAATCAAAATAATGCACAGTGACAACTTGTGAGGAATTGACCTAAAGGCCTCATGACTGCAGAGCAACAGTGCAACAGATAAGCAGTCTTTGAAAGATGACAGTGTCAGTCAGAAATGTTGCATTTCTGACTGTTCTTAGGAACATGATGTGGGGAAAAAAAGATTAATCTAACTTAAAGTCATGTAAAGTACGATTCTTATAGAAATTCTTGATCAGATTAAAAAGTACTGATCGCCCCATGGGAAAAGCCAGATCCCTACAGTCCACGTCACATTCATCCCAATCCACGTTGTAAAGGGTCCCAAAATAAACAGATTTAAAAAAAAAATGCTGCATAATCCCACCCCATTTAATTTGAATGTTCATTAGACATTTGAATGTCTTTAGGTTTTCACTTAAGAATATGTCTTTGAGAATAATTTTTAAGCTACTGATGCCCAACAGTGCTTTTGTTAATGTGAAAATCTAACCCCTTTTTTCCTTTGTATGCCGGTTTCTTCAGAGGCAAAAGATAGCAGCTGTCATCCGTTTGCATCAAGTTTTTTTTTTTTAAATACCCTGCCTTCAGTTTTCATCTTTTGCGTCGTGTGCAACTGATGGTCATATAATCAGGATCATAACCGAAAGAACAAAATCTTGAATACAAGCAGCTGAAATAAGCTTTCCCTACAGGGTGTCTGGTCACTCCCTTCGGGAAAGAGTGAGGAGCTTTGTCATCCAGGAGAGGCTCGGTGTGGAGTCGCTGCTCCACCACATGGAAAGCATTTCAGGGGGATGAGTTAGATCATTTCTGCATGCCCCCTGGACACCTCCCTCGGAAGGTATTACAGGCACGTCCTATTGGAAGGAGGCCTAGGAAAGGCCCAAGACACACTGGAGAGTCTCTCGGCTGTCCTGGGAGTGCCTCGGTCTTCCCCCAGCAGAGCTGGAGGAGATGTCTGTGGAGGGGTAAATCTGGGAGTCTCTGCTGAGACTGCTGAGACTGCTGTCCCTGCATTCCAGTCATAAATGAAGCAGAAGATGATGAATACGAGTATCCTGCTTTCATTAAATAATTTTTTTAATCCTCCCTAGTCATGAGAATGTGACACCATGGTTTGTTTGGTTAAACTGTCTGCTTAATAAACAGGAGATCCTTGGTTCAAATCCCTGTGGTGCCTTCTCATTAATAATAATAATTAATGATTCAATAGTCGATTTAAATACAATCATATCAATTATCCATACTGGTAAATGGCTGCTTTCACTCTGTAATAGAAGTAGGATGTTTATATCTTTTCCCTCTAAAAAAGAATGCATAAACAAGGGACACTACTTGATATCACGCAAGAAGTGGGGAAACATATGAACACATAATATATATAAATGTAACTTCATATGTATCCTATCTCAGTTAACTAAACCAAGGACACGTCCAATGAATATAGACGTGTGTGAATAAATCAAATTGACTACACAGGTCGGCTGGAATGTTTATTTGTAATCAGTTTATTACAGAATTCACGCAAACTTTTAGCAGCACAGTACTTGCACCTCCAGTACCCTGCACTGCCAGTAGATGGGGGTGTTACCCGAATTGGACACCTTTCTAGGAAAATCATCTAAATTAAAAAAAAAAACGTCAGAATGGCATCTGAAGTTTAACAACTGGTTATCCGATATTGACAGTAAATCATGAACCTAGCTGACATGTATATCGTTACTGTGTAAAAGTTTATGCCGTAAAACTATCTCCGCTGTAGTAAACTAAAAATGGCCAATGTTGACGGCCACAGGGATGAGCCTCCTCGACCCTGTCCAGTATCCTAATCATTCGGCTCAGCTCGCCAGCAAACGTTGTTACATTAAGCTCCTCTTTTCATATACTATACTATTCTGCCCTTTTTATTGCTTTTGATGCACATGGATGGACACATTTAAAAGTCTGTATATTTGTTTTAAAATTCAGATCGTTTAATCATCAACAACAGACATATCAAGTAGTTCATTTAGAAGAACTGGCACTCAGCACCGACTCGGTCATGGGCAGTGTCTGTAGTTTGCGCATGCGCCATTCTCCTTAGCATTAGCCGTTTGTCGTCCAAGTCCTAGCTGTCGCTTTTAGCATCACAATTTTTAAAGTTCCGGTCTATCTTCAAAGTCTATCGTTAAATAGAAACACGCTGTACAAACGAATACCGGAGACCGAGTTGGAAGGATAAACCGAAACAAACACCTCGGTGTTTTTTGCGTTGAAAACAATTTTATGACTGCCAATGCATCCGACCCTCAGGTTACTGTCGTGTCGCTAGCTTAAAACAGCTAGCTAGGCGATATTGCCTGTGTCGTTAATGGGTTCACGGTACGAGACTTTCCTAATAGAGAAAGTGACCGGTGTTTAATCAGCAACATGGATACTGCCGAAGAGGGTAAGTCTCTTGCTTCTTTGACATTGGTGGTTAACTACAGTCGGCTTTGGAAATTCAAGCCTTAGATGCAAGTCTGCTGCCCCAGAGCGGCTCAGCTAATAGCAGCTGATTGGCAACGTCTGTCAGTTAAATGTTAAGGATATTAATGAATGCTCTGACCTCTTATCAACTTTAACTTTTATACAATAACCCCCATCATTGCGTTAGACCCTGTCAAAATGTAAATGCAATTCAGGGCGTAGAAATGACTAGAAACTACTGATGATGTCATCACAGGACTGTTATTTGTCCTTTAGCTCGGTGTTGTGCAGTCAGTTTGACTTCGCTTAGATCTGCATTGCTGTCATCTTTCTGGATGATGATTATAATATGATTAATTTAGTTTTTACTGCGATGTTGCATTTGCTATTACACGCTGGGTTTTTTTTTTTTTTTATTTACTTTAAATGTAGCATTGTTCGGTATGAGATTATTAAAGCAAAACGTTTTT